CAGTCTTGAACTCAAATATTCTTACTCTACATCAAATGACCTTTGCTTTATACAGAATTCCTTGGGGCTAGTATTTGGTTAAGGCTTGGCAAGTAAAAATATTTTTTGTGGGGCCGGCCCATGGCTTAGCGGTTAAGTGTGCACACTCCACTACTGGTGGCCCAGGTTCAGATCCCAGGCGCGCACTGACACACCGCTTGTCCGGCCATGCTGAGGCAGCGTCCCACATACGGCAACTAGAAGGATGTGCCACTATGACATACAACTACCTACTGGGGCTTTGGGGAGAAAAAGGGAAAAAAGGAGGGGGATTAGTAATAGATGTTAGCTCAGGGCGGGTCTTCCTCAGCAAAAAGAGGAGGATTGGCATGGATGTTAGCTCAGGGCTGATCTTCCTCACAAAAAAAAAAAAAAAATTGATTATATGCCACAGGAAGTGACAATTTGTTAGATTAAAGATCATTAGTGGCAATTAAATGAAAGTATTTTTCAAGAGCATATGGTAAAAATATCTGAAAAATAATTTTCCATTAAAAAGTTGGCTTTATACTTAGTTTCTTGAATCTGGAATCTTCTTTGAAACTGCTTTAGAAGATCATTTATAAGGGATATTAAAAAAAAAAAACAGAAATCATTACTCCATAGTTGACCAAAGAAAGTATTTCTTAGCTAAACAACTGACCTAACTTATAAAACATTGTTGTGAATTAATTTTGTCTTTTTTCAAAAATTAAGTTTGTTAACAAACTACAAATGCATATGCATGTCATAGATGGGTTTATAGCTTCTTCCTTTGACAGAAAGATCCAGCCTCCCGTCTCATGAGTATCTGAGTTTTACTGAAGAAATCAATGGACTCCATGATGTAACAATATTTAACAAACATAACCTGATTGTGGAAACGTGATGGAGAGTAAGAACACCAGTTTCAGGAGCAGGAGGCATGGGTTTTATTTCTCACTGTGCCATCGTCTCATTCCATGACCTTAAACAGCTTTTCCCATTTCTACAATTAGTTTACTTTGGTAATTTAGAAGGTGTTTCTGAGTTCTGTGATTCTGTCCATGTCAATATTTTCATTACCATAAATATTGTTATATTTCTTCTACTTCAGTTAGAAGAAGTAAAAATTGGAAGAGTTATGAGACATTATGTGTCTATAGGTTAGCAATTGACCCTAGCCCATCTCCTCAAACTTAAGAGAAGTCCTTCTGGGATGAAAGGGTCTTTGGATTGGACTACGACAATATGAGCTCTACTGTGGAGAGCTTTGTTACTTTGAGAACATATTCCTCTACCTATTTAAATGCATGAAGTTGCCTATGAGAAAAACACTTTGGCAGGTACCCGGTTTTTGTGAAATTAGTCCTGAACCTATCAAACATCAAACCATACCTCAACTAGTTTCTGACCGACTGGGATATGATCCATATATAATTTCTAGTGCTTTCATTCTGGTTTACCCTTTCAGTTTGAAAAATCTGTGTCGCTCTCTCTCCAGGGTTTCAAACCACTCTATCTTTAGATTTGTATTCTGGAAACAGATTTTCCTGGAATAGCTCCAGGAATTATCTTTTGAAAAATTACCTTTGTGGTTTAGGTAATCACTCACTGATTTAGACCTAACTCCTCTGTCCTTGCTAATCTAGGCCTTGGGGAACTAGAGTAGACAGGTTTATGGGTCCTAGGCAATCTTTCTACCCATCACTGTAGCTGTATTGTTTTCATCATTATCATGTTAATCTAATTCCACAATTGGCACAAGAAACAACTACTTTGAAGCAGTACTGTAAACTTTACCTGGTGTGAAGCGGCAATATTATAATAGGGTTTGTAACTAACACTTACTGTACATCTGAAAACAATATTTAAAAATTATGATCAACATGAATGGTAGATCGATTAAAAAAACAAAATATTATAATGAAAAATTTTAAAGCCGGATAGTTACTCACCTAAATGTTTGATTTATACAATATCAAATATACAGACTACATATTGAGTTTGTTACCAAATATACAAATTCAGAAGTGGTTGACTTTTTTTTTCTCTTGTCATGGTGTTTTGTCTTCATGTAGACTTAAGGAAGGAGTTAAAAATTAAAGATGAATGCTATAAAAGTTCTCTTCTGAAATTCACTTAAGTTAGGTGAAATAATTGGATGTTCACAAGATCTGCTAATTGTGGTGAAATACCCTTGAGGTCTAATTAGCCACAGCTAAGAAACTTCACAGAATTTACCTACAAAGAGGTTATGTGTTAGCACTTATGAAGCTCAAGAGAAAGGTCTTATCCAAAGGTGCCATTTATAAATCAACAAAGACACTTATCGTAGCTGAGCTAGTTGGCATTTTTAACCTTACAACTATACTACTTTCTTGGTGAACTAACAGCTGCCTGGGGCCCTCGCCGTGGAGCTATGTCAGACAAGTTCATAGGTGAGGGTATTTTTTTTTTCCCCAGGAAATAATATAATTATAGAATCGCAGGTTTAAATGGATCTTACAAATCACATAATCACTCCTAACCCCCACAATTCTGAGTTTTAAATCTCTTCTTCAGCATGTCAAGCATCAAGAATGATAGAATCAGTTACAATACTACAAATTTAGAAGTAAAAATATTTTGGGGTCTTTTTTTATTATTAATGTATATTTAAATTAGAATCATATTATCAATTCAAATTGCATTCCAATTTTTCCCCACTTAATATTACAGCATAAGAATTTTGTTGTGATATTGCACAATTTTTAAAAACATCTCTGTTAAAAATGACACATTATTCAAAGAGGTGTACTATAATTTACTTATCCATTTCTCTAATGTTGGATACTCCACGTAGTTTCTAATTTTTCACAGCTCTTAATAATTGTATTCAACATGCTTGTACATAATGATTTTTCTCTTTTAAAAATATTTTGTTTTCGGGTTTATGTCTAGAAAGATTATTGTGGAGTCAAGGAAAAAGACAAAAGTCATTTCTGTTTCTCCATGGTTATTTCTAAATCACTTTTATTAATTACGTCTCATTCTTACTTTATGTGACTGCGCTCTTCTGATCTGCTAACAGTCCACCTCAGAACAAGGGAATGCAGTGAGGCTGTGCACTTTGTGCTCACACATGTGTAAGATCCTCATTCTGGATACTTAAAAAACAAAGCTCTTTATCCATTATCTTTGAAAAGAAAAGAAACTTATTTTTCAGAGTACATTTTATTATAGCAATGTTTTCTCTTTTCTTTCCTTTGGAAAATACGTGTCCCCAAATTTCCTCATTCTATTAGCGATGTAACATCCTGTAACCAGGAATGATGGAGGACGGATATTAGGGGTGAGGAAGACCTGAGAGTGCATATGGCAGAAACATAAAGGAGTGGGGATCTCATGGACGGAGGAGCTGCTGCTGTTTGGTAATAAAATGTTGCGGTGGATTAATAAGGCATTTAACAGGGATACTTTTTATGACTTTATATGGACAAACATACATTAATGTACATAGTAAATGTCCAATAAATGCTTATAGACTGAGTGAACAAGTAATAGGTACTTATAGTAAGTAGTAGATTTTATACATATTTTTGTGTGTATACATGTATAGTACTTTATCTTATCTAGTAGACTATTTCTTTCTATTTTCTACATTAAATTTATATATATATATATATATATAGACTTTTTTTTTTTTTTTTGGTGAGGAAGATTGGCCCTGAGCTAACATCTGTTCCAATATTCCTCTACTTTGAGTGCAGGTTGCCACCACAACATAGCTTGATGAGTGGTGTAGGTCCATGCCCAGGATCCAAACCCTGAGCCACTGAAGGGGAGCACACTGAACTTAACCATTATGTCGCCAGGCTTGCCCTAAATTTCTACTTTTGAAATTTGAAAATAAGGGTTTCTTTTGCTGGTGAGATCTTCATGTATTGAATACGTATCCAAGAGTTTTCTTTGTTGTTGTTTTGTTTTTTTAATCCCAGTATACCAAAGCTGTAAATAACTGAATATGGCTATGTTAAATTGTATGCGGAACAGAATTTTGAAGAACAAAAAAATATTAATTAAAAAATCACAATAATTATCTTGAAAGTAAAATGACCTAGTAACGTACTCTTTCCTAGAGGCAATTAATATTTTCATCCTTACCTGACAAATTATGTCAGAAACTATTAAACTGGAATGCAGCTTCATTCAAAAGTTGACTTACATTTCTCCTAAAGTAGAGTAATGATAGACGGAGTGGGAGGATGAGAGCCCTTGAATACCTGGGTTTACGGGCTGGGGAAGCATGTGTATTTTCACACATGAAGAAGTGGCAATTCACTAAGCATTTCTTCATCACCCAATAGGTGCCAGACACTGCAGACTTTATGCCAGACACTGTGGTAGGCACAGCGAGGAAACACACATGAATGGCTTATGTGTTATGGTAGGTACCAGGGAGGGTGCATCACCAATAACTTACACATTTCCCTAATCTGTCTGCTGCTTACGACAGATGTTTATTGACCATGTCTTCTTTCCACAGTGAGACGTGTGGGTTCAAATGTGAATTCTTCTGGAAGAGAGAATAACTCTTACCTTACAAAATACATCTGAGAGTTACAATTTATAAGCTGAGAGACACAGAGGAGGACTGAGAAGCACGGGGCACTGACATGACTAAGCAAAGTCACAGAGTTGGAACCAGAGTAAGAATCCAGATCTCATGTATATAGCCCAGTATTTTCTCATTAAATTACACATCAAATGTTACCCTATAGATGATTTATAGGTGACAGACACTAGATATCTGAAGAGATGGAAGACATCATGGAGGAAATAAGAAGTATCGAAATAACTACTGAGGCAAGGAGTGCCGAGGACATGCTCCACAGTGACAGTGACAGTGCCCACTCTATCTCTGTGCTATCAAATGCAGACTACAATCCTTTCCTGATTAATAGGTATCTTTCTTTTTCCCTTTGTAGATAATTTAGGCCCTGGGAAGGTGTTATTTCCTAAATGGATCACCTCACATCTCCCAACAATGTGACTGAATTTATTCTCTTGGGACTCACGCAGAATCCACACTTGCAGAAAATACTCTTCATTGTCTTTTTGTTCATTTTCCTGTTTACCATGTTGGCCAATTTGCTCATTGTCATTACCATCTCCCTCAGCCCCACACTTTCGGCTCCCATGTACTTCTTTCTTACTTACTTGTCCTTCATGGATGTCTCCTACACCTCTGTCATCACCCCCAAAATGATCATCGACCTGATGTACCAGAGGAGAACCATCTCCTTGGGTGGCTGCCTGACCCAGATCTTTGTGGAGCATTTCCTGGGAGGATCAGAGATCATCCTCCTCATTGTCATGGCCTATGATCGCTATGTGGCCATCTGCAAGCCCCTGCACTACAGGACCATCATGCGACAGGGGCTCTGCCGCCTCCTGGTGTTTGTGGCCTGGATCGGGGGAATACTGCACGCCACTGTGCAGATTCTTTTCGTGGTCCACTTGTCCTTCTGTGGCCCCAATATCATTGACCACTTCATGTGTGACTTCTTCCCACTGCTGAAACTTGCCTGCAGGGACTCCTACAGGCTCGGAATGGTGGTGGCAGCCAACAGTGGAGCTATGTGCTTGCTCATTTTTTCCATGCTACTCATCTCCTACATAGTCATCCTGAGCTCCCTGAAATCCCATGGCTCCAAAGCACGACGCAAAGCCCTCTCTACATGTGGCTCCCACTTTACTGTAGTTGTGCTCTATTTTGTGCCTTGTGTATTCACCTATGTGCGTCCTGTGGCCACCTACCCTGTGGACAAGTCGGTGACAGTGTTCTTTACAATCCTCACTCCCATGTTTAATCCTATCATTTACACAGTGAGAAACACGGAGGTGAAAAATGCCCTGAGGAGTTTGTTGAAGAGGAGAGTAACTTAGGCTGTGCATAATGCCAAGAAATTGATGATATATATAAATAATGTGGATTATATGTGTTGTATACTGTGAAAGAAAATGAACAAATTTTGCAGATCACTGACAGAAAAAAAATCCCAGATACTAACATTTATTGAGTACTTAATAATAGCTAGGCTCTTTGACATGTACTTTTGATAGCTTTTAATGTGCTTTACCAAGGCTTCAATGTTCGTGTGCACAGATTCAGGCTACGCAATGGAAAGAACAACTATAAATCCCTAGTTTGATGATTCTAGAGTATATTTTTCTCCAGAGTCCCACTGCTGCTTTACTAAATTTTTCATGCATATGTTACTTGGACGAAATTGGCTTTTTCATAGAACCTTGATCTCAGAACTTCTTTTATTTTTGCTTTGCCTGTGGTAAAGCAAAAAAGAAGATAGAAATTCTTAGATAGATATATGCGGAAGGAACAGTTGGGGAGTGAAAGATTCACTACTCATTCGTTTTTTTTGCCATTATGAATTTACCAAAAGCAAAAAGAGAGACACTCAAAAAAGGAAGAAAGAATAATTTATAGCCTATCTCTAATTTTTTTTCTTGGCACAAAAAATAAGCCAGGGCTGGCTCCATGGCTTAGCAGTTAAGTGCGCGAGCTCCGCTACTGGCGGCCCGGGGTTCAGATCCCTGGTGCACACCGACGCACCACTTGTCCAGCCATGCTGAGGCCGCGTCCCACATACAGCAACTAGAAGGATGTGCGACTATGGCATACAACTATCTACTGGAGCTTTGGGGGGAAAAAAAGGAGGAGGATTGACAGTAGATGTTAGCGCAGAGCCAGTCTTCCTCAGCAAAAAAAAAGAGGGGGATTAGCATGGATGTTAGCTCAGGGCTGATGTTCCTCACAAAAAAAAAAAGCCAGAAAATTTTAAATTACTCTGAATTTGGTCTTATTTTCTTAATATCATTATGGCACACAGTTTTTGTTGAGCATAAAAGATGTTTTTTCTTTTTCCTTACTAAGACTTGAGGAGCCATTTGAAGCAACAAGGGTAAACATTCTTTTATTTAATCTCAACATAAAGGTATATAGTTATGTTCCAAAGCTATTGCTCTGTAGGTGTGATACATATATTTACATTAGATGAACACTTAATTATCTATCAGGCATATTCACTTCAGTTAGGTGATTTATCACATACTAAATTGGTAGTTTCAATATTACTATCCCCATTTTACAGAGAAATTGATGTCAAGAGAAGTTTACTAATTTACTTGCCTCAAGTCACGTACCTAAGAGTTTCAGCTACAAAATTTGAATCCATGTTTTTCAGATCTCAGTCCTACTTTCTTTGAAATAAAAGAAAGTTGCCCATGGTATGTTTATATCTTTAGATAAGAAACTTTTCTGCAGTCTTAATGATTCACCTTGTCCTTCAAGAAAAATGGTGTCAAATTTGTTGTAGCCTTGTCTCACTTGTGGCAATATACCTAAGCAGTAACGCTCCTCTGTGTACATGGAAAATTTCAGATCTTTCTACATTACTACATAACACTTTATAAATCAAAGCTTCTCTGACTATAACATTCCAACTTGTGTTACTTCTCACAAATTTTCCTTTCTCAAACTCACTGGTCATCGAGAGCTGTTTTTTAATTTGACCATCCAGTAATGCCAGAACATAGTACACTGTTCTTTGGGGTGACTGGGTGTTCTAGCTTATAAACGGCTGTCTCAAATTCATAAGAAATAGGACATTTTCCCACAAGGTCTAGGCCTGGAAGATGATGTAAATAGCACTTAGTCTATTAAAAATGATCAAATTTGCAATTGCTAGTGAGAAATAACCATTTAAGCAGAATCTAGATTGAATGACGTGGTTCATTTTGACTGTCAGACAGGAGATGAGTGTAAGCCGGGGGTAAGGATAGGAAAAGTATTCAGTAAATGTTGTTTCTACTCTAAGACAAAAGAGAGGATTTGAAGAGGGAAACTAAGGCCAATCATTATGTCTTAAGGGTGACACCAAGTGCTCAGTGCAGGGGTGAGAAGATTAATGAGACACGAATTTTAAATTGTGAACAGCAATCTTGGAAGGTGTGAGAACTGAAGGAGGAAGTATAAAGCAGTCTGACATTCTCAGTAGATGAGATCTTGCTGGTTTGTGACAAATTTCAAGGAATTTTAAGATGTCCCTTTGTACTCATCATCAAGAATCTCTCTTGAGGGCCAGCTGCCACCTGATTTTTTCTAATACTTAAAATAACATATACGGAAACAGGTATATGTACTCCAAAAATTATTAAGATAAATAATATTTGGATCTGTTGTATAAGGAAATTTTGGTTTATATGGACTTTTAATTCAGTGAAAATATTAGGCATTAAGTAAGGGGAGTGAGCTAACCCTTGTTTAAGGCCAACTGTGAGGCATATATTTTGAAAGGTTCTTTACATACTTTAACTCTCTAAATGTAGCAACAAGTTTTATTAGTCTTTAGTCTATTTTATATAGGAAGAAAATGAAACGCAATGAAGTTAAGCAAGGATATCAAATCTTTTAGACCCTGTCATCTCTACTCTTCCCACTTCACAGTACTCCTTGCTAGCATGACGTGAAAACATCAAAACACAGAACTGATCATTGGCTGCCTTGTCAAGAGCACCCTTGAGGCATTCTTCCCTTATTTCAGGTGCCACTTTCTTCCCTGAGCTGTCCCTTGACCTTCTTCCCGGGTTACTTGCACTCTCTTGATTCCTCAAGTGTCAAAGGAAAGCCATCTGATAATCTCATGTCCACAGATGTATTTCCCTTCATGGATATCACGGAAAGTGGGATGTAATGGGCTCAAGAAATGAAATTCAAATGGTTGAATTTCAAAGAAAGTGACACATGGTGAGAGAGATGTTTGGAGAAAGAATAAGCATCGTAATCATTGAGGAGACTGATACTCGGGGCGTGAAGGTAGCACCTTGAATAGTTAAATGTTGTTTCTATGGGACTTTTCCCATTGTTATCCCATAGTGTTAATATTTATTACTTGAAAAATGGCTCCATGGTCATTTAAGTTTAGGAAATTTTGACTTATTTCATTTATCCAAAAAATATTATTTGGTGCCTACAGTGTGCTGGAGAGTTCTAGGGGCTCTTGAATACCACAGACAAGGGCTGTGTTTCGGTGGAACTTAATTTACAGTCTGGAATAGAAGCATAATAAACAAGTTAACAAATAAATAAAAAATGTAATTGTGTTAGTAATAAGTTTTCTGGAAAACATTTTATTAAGAGGGTGATGCAGAAGAGAAGAATTGGATACAGATTTGTATAGTGGTTTGAAGCACAACTAGAATTTTAGTTAGGCCCGAGATTAAATAACCATGTTATTTCCCCTCTTTCCTTTTTTTTTTTTTTTTTTTGATGAGGAAGATTAGCCCTGAGCTAACATCTGTTGCCAATCCTCCTCTTTTTGCTGAGGAAGATCGGCCTTGGGCTAACATCCATGCCCATTTTCCTTTACTTTATATGTGGGACACCTGCCACAGCATGGCTTGATAAGCAGTGTGTAGGTCCATGCCTAGGATCTGAACCTGCGAAACCCAGGGTGCTGAAGCAGACTGTGCAAACTTAACCACTATGCCCCCGGGCCGCCCCCTCCCCTTTCTTTTTATACATAAGTTACTCTAACACATGCATTTGCAATGGGGATGTTTTTTCTCCCAGGTAGGTAAAAATGGTTTCTTGGGAGATGAAAGTATCTTACTATTTTTCCATATAAAACATGGATATACATAAAGTACATAAATAGTATATCTGTGGTGTTAGTATTTTGGGAGAGTGATTAGGGGAACAGAATGTCTAAAAAGTGCCTTAGGTGGGCAACAATGAAACAAAAAGATTGAGGAGAACTGCTTAACCCATGGTTAGGTGAGAACATGGAGTAGTGTTAGAATGTTAGTAGAGAAAATACAGGTGTAGAGGTTGGCCCATCACCTGTGAGGATTATATTTAGTAAAACTGAGAGGTTCTTCCTTCTCAGGAGGCTTCCCAGGGTGTATGGTCAACTATATTAAGGAACCAGTTGTAATCCGTGAAGTTCATTGTAAATGTAGGATATTGATATTTTTTACCATTGAAGGTGGAAAAAGACTAAAGACTATAACCACAAATATTTTTAAGTTGAAAACATGTCATTTGAGAGTACAACTTGTTATGGAGGGAGACAGAATTTAGTTCTTATTTTTTTCTGGCTGAGGTACTTTTCTAATCCTTAATAATGTCAACTGTCCTTCAGGTACATGTGACACAATTTTATTAATACTCTTAAAAGATGAAAGAGCACCAGATTAGGTGATAGAAAAATTTGGTCTTGGTACTTGCTAGGTGGCCAGGAGTAAATCATATTGACTTTTCTTCATTTATGTTATCAGGCAGATGGGTCACTCTGTGCCATTCTATTATTGAAGAAGAGACCTTAGTTATGGAGCAAATAATTGGATGGTTAACACCATGATCTGGTTTTGTGTTTGTGGAGAATCAGCTTGGCCTGGCTCCAGTGAAGTTCTGCCCCTGGGAAACGTGGATCATTGCAGGGGTGGATGGGAATTCACGGGAACAGTAATTAGCTCCTGAGGCAGTAGAGACACAGCCTCAAATGGATGCAATTGGAATGATGCAAGTCTGCACACTTTGAAATTCTGTGCCATTTGAAAATGACCCTCTGCCCTCTTTTAGCCCAGGTCTATTACCCAAAGGTGGACATCTTATTAATGATGTTTCTTGTAAGACATGGATTGCAAACTGTTTGCAAATTAAGCTCAAAGTGCAGCCAAATGGCAGACACAGTTCTGTGAATGATTTTGTAAACAGCTTAGCTGGCTGTCTTTTTTGGCAAAATTTTCTATTTAGATGAAATTTAAATTCCTTTACCAATCACCATGGTTGTTTTCTACTTAAGTCCTTGGACACTTAGAGCAGCTGTTTTAAATCTTTCTTTAAAATCGTTAGAAACTCTGGTCCTGTCAAAATAACTTCCCATTAAGTGATTGGATGACTTGTTCCCAGTGCAGGTCTTACTTGCCTCCACACTTGGATTTGCTACATTAATACTCTAATGTCCTGCTTCACAGCATTTTTGTAGAAGAAAGTTCCTGTAAGTATATCCTGGATGGGGCCAGACCTTTGGTGACCCTGACATGATATTAGAAATTTTATTTGCACAATGTCTACCTTCTACTTCCTGGGTCCATCAGGTAACTAGCCTTTGGAGATCGTAGAGATGACATCAGACTGAGTTTTTGAGGTGACTTCAAAAACTTGTTTGAATATTAAACATGTTCTTATTAATTTGAACTATTTTGAAAGTATTGAAATAATTGAATCACCTATACACATGGACAATTCTGTTATACTTAAAATACAGCTGTTTTATCTATATACACAAATTGTGGCCTTGGGATGAAG